TCTCGAGCTTCCTTGAGGATACCTTCTGCACTGTGATTGGCTATTTCGTTTGATATGTCTAGTGCCACAAGCGGCCCGAGTTAGTAGCTAGCCCAGCTCAGGCAGCAAAGATGTATCTTATCAGTTATTGAAATTGTCGGCTGGTTTTAATCATCAGTTTTCTTTCCAGGTGTTGACCTTACGCAGTCCACGTAAAATTATGAAAAAAAGACAGTGCGTATTTCTTTTACGTTTCGACCCTCATTGGGATCATCTTCAGAAAGGTTTTATTTCTAAGTAAACATGTATGAACAATCGTTGGTTAGATTGTGTAAAAAATAGTAGGCCAAACCAACAAGAGTTTGTGTGTTACATGTAAAGGCAGGATTAGCCAAAAGTTAAAAAGAGCCATAGCTGATCTATTAACTATGGCTTTAGGGTTGGCCTACTATTTCTTACACAATCTAACCAATGATTGTTTAACAGTTCATACATGTTTACCTAGTAATAAAACATTTCTGAAGATGACCCCAATGAGGGTCGAAACGTAACAGGTTATGTAAAACGTAAACGCACTGTCTTTTTTTCATAATTTTACGTGGACTGCGTAAGGTCAACACCTGGAAAGAAAACTGATGATTAAAACCAGCCGACAATTTCAATAACTGATAAGATACATCTTTGCTGCCTGAGCTGGGCTAGCTACTAACTCGGGCCGCTTGTGGCACTAGACATATCAAACGAAATAGCCAATCACAGTGCAGAAGGTATCCTCAAGGAAGCTCGAGACCTTCCTTGAAATAAGGAGGCCAATAAGGCTCCCTGTTCTGTAAAGGAAGGTCTATGAAACGCGAAACGAGGAACAAGGGATCTTTATTCCTCAAGGAACGACTATGAATACGGCTACTAGTGTAATATTTTCGATACCTTACGCTACTGGCCGAGTGTAGAGTCACCTTTTTTTTGCGCGTACTCGCCTGATGCGAGAATAAAGGACGCACTGCTTATCAGTGGTGTACCTAGTATTAATTTATTTTTGCCGATTACTCTATTCTTGTGATAATTTTTCGAGAGCTTGCCATTTCTTTTGACTAATTTATGTTATTTGCACTGTCTGTGTTAATTTATGGAAGTGTATTTTATACCTGTGTGTTAATCGCCATATTTATATCGTCGTGTTCTGACTCATTCCAATTGCCGGGAAATTTCGCGAGTGAACTTGTTCCGTGTTTTCGTACCGATACGAATTTAAGCCTATGTTTTCGCGTGTATTTCGTAGTTTCCTAATTATCGAAATATCGTCTAACGTATCTTTTGTGCCGGCGCGGATTCGTCCCGCTGCCGTGTCGTATCGCCACAAGGCCGTAGTCCCTCGCTAATTCCGCGTTTCGTTTTAAGAATTTTAGTTTATATAGAATCCATCAAGAGCCTTTCGCTTTGTACTATTATTTAAAGGATTTTGTTATCTGATTTCGCTTTCGCACCTTAGTGTATCTGACTAAAAATTTACTTTAGCTTTTTTGCTTTCAACCCGCTGTAGTTTCCTATATGGCTTGCATGCCGCTTTCTTGCTTTTTCTAATATAGCTTCGGTGCGTTAAACCTACTTATTTTTCTCTGCTATCTTTCTCTTACCTATTCTCTTTATCGCATGTCTATTCCTTCCCCCATCTAGCCTCTTGAACGCGACGACGCTCTCCCAGGTGAGCTAGCCTCTGAACCGGGTATAATTATTGAACTTTTCGTCGACCGCTTGATTCTCTCTCTCTCGCTTCAGCTTTACCTTTCTTCGCGTTTCCCTTTCTTATGGCCACGACACTCTCCTAGGTGAGCTAGCCTCTGAACCGGGTGTAATTTTTCGAGTTTTCATCGACCGCTTGATTCTCTCTCTCTCTCGCTCCTGGTTTTTTTCTCTCTCTTCGCGTTTCTCTTTCTTACCTTGGCGGTGTCGCCGTTTTAGTGTTTCGTTCGTTACCCATTTGGCGGAGTCGCCGTTTGTGAACCTGTCTCTTTACGTTCTTGGCGGAGTCGCCGTTTACTACCTTTTCTCTTTTTATCTTGGCGGAGTTGCCGTTTATTACTGTTGCTCTTTTCTATCTTGCCCGAGTCGCCGTTTACCTATCTTTCTCTTTCTATTTTGGCGGTGTCGCCGTTTATCGATCTTTCTCTTTTCTCTCTTGGCGGAGTCGCCGTTTACTACCTTTTCTCTTTTTATCTTGGCGGAGTTGCCGTTTATTACTGTTGCTCTTTTCTATCTTGCCCGAGTCGCCGTTTACCTATCTTTCTCTTTCTATTTTGGCGGTGTCGCCGTTTATCGATCTTTCTCTTTTCTCTCTTGGCGGAGTCGCCGTTTACTACCTTTTCTCTTTTTATCTTGGCGGAGTTGCCGTTTATTACTGTTGCTCTTTTCTATCTTGCCCGAGTCGCCGTTTACCTATCTTTCTCTTTCTATTTTGGCGGTGTCGCCGTTTATCGATCTTTCTCTTTTCTCTCTTGGCGGAGTCGCCGTTTACTACCTTTTCTCTTTTTATCTTGGCGGAGTTGCCGTTTATTACTGTTGCTCTTTTCTATCTTGCCCGAGTCGCCGTTTACCTATCTTTCTCTTTCTATTTTGGCGGTGTCGCCGTTTATCGATCTTTCTCTTTTCTCTCTTGGCGGAGTCGCCGTTTACTACCTTTTCTCTTTTTATCTTGGCGGAGTTGCCGTTTATTACTGTTGCTCTTTTCTATCTTGCCCGAGTCGCCGTTTACCTATCTTTCTCTTTCTATTTTGGCGGTGTCGCCGTTTATCGATCTTTCTCTTTTCTCTCTTGGCGGAGTCGCCGTTTACTACCTTTTCTCTTTTTATCTTGGCGGAGTTGCCGTTTATTACTGTTGCTCTTTTCTATCTTGCCCGAGTCGCCGTTTACCTATCTTTCTCTTTCTATTTTGGCGGTGTCGCCGTTTATCGATCTTTCTCTTTTCTCTCTTGGCGGAGTCGCCGTTTCTCGACCTTCCTCATTTCTATCTTGGCGGAGTCGCCGTTTATCAATCTTTCTCTTTTCTACCTTGGCGGAGTCGCCGTTTATCGCTTTTTCTCTTTCCTATCTTGCCGGAGTCGCCGTTCGTATCGTTCCACGTCGCTCCTCTTGGCGGTGTCGCCTTACCTGTTTACTTTTCCCTTTCGTTGTTTCGAGCTTTCCCGCGTTTTCCTCAGAATTTCTAAGATCTCGAGTGCCCTACACTCGCGGAGTTCTCCCCGGAGACCACCTGGCGCCCAACCCCATTGAGTTTATCGCGTATCGGGACTTTTGAATATCGAAATTTATAGAGAGAGAATCATACGGCGTTTTGTTTACGGTTCCCTACTTTCCGAATACCTTTTATCGTCTATCTAATTTCGTATTGAGATTTTGTTTTTGGGGAATAACGTCACACTAGATACAAGAAACTACGGAGCGGAACACCTGGACATCCTGAACTTCCACATCTAACACCTAGATACAGGAAACTACGGAGCAGAATACCTGAACACCCTGAATTTCCACGTCTCACACCTAGATGTAGGAAACTACGGAGAGGAACATCTGGAAATCCCATATCTCTAAAAATTGTCACCTAAAATACAAGGAACTATGTCAAAGCACACACGTACGTACACGAATACACACGCGCTCCACATGAAAGTTTTAATAATTCTATACTATTGTGAAAGCAGCCTTATATTAACTGGAAATTCGGTGTAAACGGTAGCTTCACGTACAAACTGTATTTGATTGTGTTGGGTATTCGTAAATTACCAACACCATCCAGAGTATAAATAGGTAAAGAAGGCAAAGCAGTCAGCGCCATCTGTCGTGTAAAAAAGTAGATGGACGTGCGAAGACGATGACGACGACGACGGAACTGAAATAAAATCATCTCGCTCGCCATCTCAATACGCCATGATCTCATACACTAATCATATTTTGAGTATTAATTGAACGTGGTGGCAATCAATTCAGAACCTTCAATTCCTATAGTGAATGTATCAATAACTTTTTCTCATGTATCGCGGTTAATAAGATATTTCGTTCCAAACACAGGTATAAGGGTTGACTCAAGTAAAAAGTCTCTGCGAGCTGTGCCCTGTACAGCCGGTTGCCTGCACTTGGTTGCCTTAACATATGAGGCACTGTCCATAATCAAAATTTTAGACTTGGCTAAATTCAATGTACGGCCATTAGCGACGACATGTAATACAGAGAGACTGAAAGAGAGAGAGAGAGAGACTTTCTGCGGTACTTTTTCTTGTACTTTTTCCGGGACTTTTTCTAAAACTTTTATCAGTACTGTGTTCCGGACTTTTACCGGTATTTTTTTCCAGGACTTTTTCAGAATTTTTCCGGTACACTTTTATCGTCCACACCAAGTTACATAATACTTGTAGGTGACAGATTTCAGATTTATCTACTGCGACAGATCTTAATATTTCTTACATTATCATAGGATATTGCAGTTTTTAGTCAGTGCGTGACTGTTCTCAGCGCGTGACATCTAATAGGCATGGCTTCGCTTGGCTTCAATCTGCCGATAGCCAACAAGAAACAAAAGCGAGGAAAAAAAACTCAGAGTTCGTAGGTGGCTACGTTTCTGTTTACGCCTCGCTCTGATTGGTCAAATTTGACCTGCTCCCGTTTAAAAATCAAGAGTTTCCGGACAAAAGGAAGGTCATTTTCGTGATCAGTTCAGTTTTCAGATCAGAACACCGCCATACCCCGTTGGTCAGGTAGTTTCGGAACACCCTATAGATATTGTTTCACAGCATTCCTCCGGTTACTCTAATCCTTTCTAAAATACCAATTCCCTTTACTTTCATTGTGTACTCAAGATTCCGATGGCGATCATACTTCAACACCCAAGAATTAAGCAACAGAACAACAATTTGGTGTGCTCCAGCACTGAAAACCGGCAAGAATTCCAAAAATAATGGATTCATTCTCCACGTTCAGTTCTTCGGTCTAAAACGCGTCGGACGTAACAACAACACATAGAAGGTACTCACAGTAATATGAATCCTTATCTGGCTTGCTCGCTTGTTTATGTTGCGAGCTGCGACTCTTTGGTCTTAAAGACATCCATTTCCAACCTGGTCGACCAGTTCGAGTCAGAAAATGAAGAACACGCTCCTCTGGGGTGGAGAACCATTTTTCGGATCCTGCATTATATTCACAGTATACCCAATCTGGATGTATTTTCCACTTGTTGCCTTTGAAGTATTCAGTTACTGTAAACAAATAATAATTCATATCATAAGTATAATTATAATATAAATATTGTATGGTTCAAATTTATTTCTACACGAAATTATGTCGTGTATGTTATGACATGATTCTCCCTAATCTCGCCACAAAACACTAGAATCAGAGCTCCCTCTTGAACCAAGCTTTTCACGACAATCTACTAGCGATCTTCCACCTCAAAATTACTGTTAAAGTTCTCGTTTGTGAACGTCTATTAGCGTCCTTTAGCGTTGCCTGTCTTATCTTTTTCTCTTTCTGTTATGCTATACTGCAAGGTTCCCAAACCACCTATCGCGTGAAGGAGTCGCGCAGCGATACCCACCGCCAAGCGTCCTAATACAGCAACCGGCCACAAGAGGGACTGACATACCAGCAAGCAGAGGCGGGTCAACGTGCCAATAAGCCTTAAACTTTATTTGTTGCAGAATCCTGAAAAGGAAGCGAAGAGGCGATAATGCAGCGGTATTAATCCCGCTGCTGCACCAATTCCTATTTTTGCTAGCAGAGTACGTTTAGGAGTTAATTAATCCTACGCCTAAGTTGTCACCTGCAACTATTACCTCACAGAACCTATCACGAAAGTGTATTAGTTCTTTCTCTACGGTGGAACTCAGAATTTGTCTGTGACGGATTGAATGAGTTTCAATCCGTCCTGATTCCTGACCAGATAACCGCTGTTTTGTGGGGCGCGTCCTCTTTAACGAAAAAGAGACAGCGTATTTAATTTCTAAAAATGTGTTAATATTGTAACGAATTTGATTCAATAAACAAGGATTACAGGATAAGGAAATTTAAATCAAACCACGTTTTTTGAGCTATTCAGATTTACGTTTATTTATGGCTCAGAGAGGAAAGTCTGCGAGGCGTGAACCTCAGAACAAAAACCTCTCACAAATAATGAATTTACGATATATACAGTTATTTAGTTTATCAAATCTATTTCACGTGATAACTATCATGAAGACGAAATCTACAGTAGGAATGATGTTAGGTATGAACTTATTGTATACTTATTTATATCATGCAATATGATATTATGGTTATAAGTCGCTGGCGACTTCACAAGCATTGCGCTTGTGGTTAGGTATCACCGTCTGATTCGGTATACTTGATAGTTTGTTTTATATGATGCGTAGGTAATTCGGCTGACGACCTGTGGTCAAGCGTTGCGCTTGCTTGCTACTACAACCGGCTTTGCCGGTGTGCCTGGCGGGACGTACCGCCCTTGATATTGTACTTACGGCTATTGTTCAGCTCACCAGCATGTAGACGACTCCAAAGGGTTGACATCCGCACATCACGAATTCCGAGTAATGATCAAATCGCCCTTAATTCCCTTAGATCACTCGTTTATCCCGGAAACGCACAGACAAGGGTTCACGAGTCCCACGACTACTGCCCTAACTCCCCTTGGGGCCCGGCTAGTGTTATCCTCTCCCCCCTTAACGCTCGCCCGAGACACAAGCTAGAACCACGGCCGGCCGCGTGACGCGTGTGTTCGTATACACGCGCGAGTGACCGTTGGTACCTGGGCACCTTTAAACTACTCGTTCGACTGAACAACCGCTACGACCAAACATAAGTTGTGCTTCCGATAGGTTGCATGTTGTGAATCACATTATGGATTTAGTAACGCGCCAACGTCAGAAGCGACGGAATGGTTAAGCTGCGACGCGGCCCATTCCATCCGCTAAAAATTATGGAAACAAAGGAGACACATTACCGATACCATGGCGAAATATAGAAAAAACCCTTTGGTTGATGGGTCTCTTAAAAATTCCAACAATAAGATATATAAAGTGGGCAGCCTTTCGGGTCGTCAGACGAAGTAGTAGAGCATCATGTGAAGTGTTATTACGGAAACTTAGTCGAAGTACTAACCTCATCCTCGCGTCCTTCGTATTCACCACGATAACAGTTTTGATTTTAATAGTGTATTCTAAAATAATCATTTTATTATCAATAAATCTTTTTACTTGTTTTCGATAGTTAAGTTCCAACTTTTTACTCACGCAACAAATTCCAAAATTATCCGACTCCCGAATAACCATTCAGTAATCAAACCCGTGGATCTAAAATTTAGATTCACAACACAGAGCAGACTGACCAGGTATTAATTCCTGATCTTCGGCTACAATGGACTTCCCCTTAGAACAGCCATGGACGAATATTAATTCCCGCACTTGATCTGGCTCCATTCTTCAGCTAGGAGAGTCGCGAAACTGTAACATTGCTCTTTATGCTAACAATAAATCGTTTATTATAATCAATCTCTGTTCTCAACAGCGCACGCCACCCCTATTCATAGAAGAATCAGAATCCACAAAGTATTATGCAAGGCCTAATACGTTACAATACCTTATATCGACTCTCGAGTATCTCTATTATGACCGAAGGGCGTGAAACCAGGACGCCACCACTATGGAGTTTTGGGAAATATTCAAATTACGCTTTGTTGCGGCTGCTGTTTTTTTGAAGTACCGATATTAGATGGATGACTTCGGAGGGAATAGACCAATGAGGCTTGTCCTGAGCGAGATGTATCCGCTGATCCCGCCGACCTGGATTTCACCGGGATCCTAATGCTGTCTTAAAATCCAAGAAGCCTTGGAGCACCCGGGACGGTACTCCGCTGTTTCCGTCGGCCGACGAGAACTGCCCTTTGGGCCCATCCGCCGCCGATAGGGCCCGCAGGGAGATGATGTTTGCCTCCCGGGCCCGCAGGGAGATGATGTTTACCTCCCGGGCCCGCCTAAGGCCTGCTGATCGCCTACGACAGCCTCCTCCGTTTGGCGGAAAAGCCGCCTGAGGAACATCAACCCGCAAGGCCCAACGTTTTTGAAGGCCATGCCGATAGGACCGTCGTTCGTCTTTACTCCACCGGGAAACGCTCGGGAGAACTCGGCTGTTTCCATCAAGATTCGTCCCGTTTCGGTGACGTTCCTGCCTCACCTGGGCCCGCTCGCCTACGTTCGCTGAACGAGTTATTCATTGTCATGCGAAGCTTTGAATAGTGCACTTGTGGCTAATTTTCCTGGTGATAAAGAGAGAGGGAAAAAGAGAACGATTACTTCTTGCTACCTTACTGGTTTTCACCGCTTTTTGCTGCCTTTGGCTACCTTTTTCTGGGGACTTTATTGCTTTCATTTTCTATTGGTGACATCTATCGCTTTCCTTTAATATCTTCTGCATTTTCTTTTTGAATATTATAGGACAAATGCACAGCTGAGCCGTCCGTTTAGCCGTTAGCACATTCCCTTTTCGTTATCGGGCGAATGTCTTTCCGCCTATTGTAAATAAAAGGACGATTGTGCCGTTCAGAACTTCGTATTACTGAGTTTTTCCGATTATGCGCTATTCTTGTATTGATTGCGATTTATACTCCCTCTGATTACTAAACATTTCTGGAATCTTCGCCTATTTATAAGTCCTTAGCTTGATTCTCTCTCCCTTGCCTCTTTAACGCCGCGACGCTTCCAACGAGATATCCTCTGAAGCGGCGTACTGTTTGACACAGGTTAATCTGGTTTTATATGATTTTTCCGAGTTCCGGGTAACCCTTAGGTTTAGTTTCGTTTCTTATCTTTCTTTCTTAACCGTGTGGCACCTATCTGTTTCGATTGGCCGATTTGCCCTTAATGCGTAGTTCGCCTGATGGCACTTTTTAGATTTAGTTCGTCTAGAGGGGTATTTAGGTGTAGTTCGCCTGGTGGCAAACGGTTACCCTGAACTGACTAATCTTTCTGTTGTTTCTTGCGGTATTGACCACGAGCCAAGAGCTCGTGCTACTCCTTCGAAAGTACTGGCAGCCAAGACCTCTATTTCGCCTAGACCACGTACGTTATCGTATTCCCTTTTTTTGTGTATGACTATAACGTGACTGACTATAATGTTGCAATATATATATTATGATGTGGTGAATTGCACACGTCGGATCCTCCCAACAGCAGCATAGCTCTTTTCTACTGACGGACCTGTCAGCCCCTGGGTTGCTAAGGACACGCAGGAATCGCGTAAATTGTGCGCCGGTCAGTCTCGCATTTCCCAGTGAGACTAGATCGTGAACAAATACATCACAATATATTGTAACAAAAATGTTATTCTTCTGTGCAGACTCCTCCTCGGCTCCTGGCTCGAGGGTACCCACTCGCCTCGAGCGTTACTTATCGCGTATATCCCGTGGCTCGGAGCCATTGAAAACCATCTACGAGGATCAAGCACCAGGGAAGGATTGAGAGAGAGTGGCAAGGTTGCTTAGGTAGCGGAACGCGGGGAAGGCATGGGCAAGAGGACTAGCTGACCCAGACTACCACGTAGGGATTGAATACCAGCCAGCTATCCTGACTACGTTTATCCAGACCTCGGTGCAGTCCTGTTACACGGATAGTCGCGAGGCCCATTTGACAGCGGTGGTGCCCCCTTCCTCCATCTCCGCGGATGCATTCTGGTGGAGATTTGATAGGCCATGGTGAATGCATTATTGTCCGGCGCAACAGCTATCACCCAGCACAGTACCACCGAGCAGTGAGGCCCCGAGAGGGCCGCCAACATCGTATCCAGAGAAGGCACCAAAACCCTGCGATGCCCGAACTGCGGACCAATGTCAAAACGCGTAGTGCTCTCAATTCAGCAGTCGAGCCAATCCCCGAGGCCCTGGAAACCCACCGAGGAAAACAACAACCCGAAGCTTTGAAGATTTCACCACTTTGAGCTAGGTTACAGTTGAGAGCGTTTGCGAATTTTGTGATTGGAGTGAGTAATTTTCGAGTGAATATTTGGATTATATCGAATGCAGATTTTAAGTGAGTACGCTTTCGAGTGATTGAGTTATCCCTTTTAACTTTTTCCCTACCCTCTTTTCTTTTGCACCCTTATAGTTAGTAGATTACTTCTAGATGTAGCGTCTGTATGTGGACCGGCATTTTGCGTTAGTGGTTTTTTGGATTTAGACCAGCCTTCTGTCCACAATCTTGAGGCCGAATAG